CCATTCAGCACAGCATTAACCTTACTGCCAACACTGCTAAATAGGTTATAGGAACTGGAAAAAAATTGGGTTTCAAAAAGGATGGGACAAGCAAATATGTAAAATACTAACGCACAATACGGGAGTAAAAATGAGCACACTGAAACAAAATTAAAATGAAGTAATTCTTGATATGGAGACAGAAAAAAAAATTCAAATCCTTAGGTAATTTAAATGTAAAACTTTACCCAAAATAAGCATGTTTATCTATGGAGGGGGGTCTGCAATATGCTATAGGGAACATCAGGAATAATTTAAGCTAATAATACATATCTGACGCTTTCTCTTCTTATTTTGAAATTTAACTGAACTGAAAATAAAAAAAAAAAAGAAAAAAATAAGTAAAAATGAGAGATTTATGGAAACAAACACTAAGCAACTAACAGGGCATGGAGGAAATGAAAAACACTCCGCTGAATTGTCAGGATTTAATACAAATTCCATAAAAAGCAGTAAGCTATGTTCAGATGGGGCTGTCAGAGATAATGACAATGTAAATCATACGATTTGAAACATTAGAGCAAAGTGTCCATGAAAGTTGAAAAAAACAATTATTTTATCGGAAAGGAAGAGAACAGGCAATAGGTTGTGAGTGCTTATTCTAGGGGAGTAGAAGAAATCAATTTATCTACGAGCCCAATAATGTTATCCTGAAGAAGAGAATCAATGTTTCCTGTGTTTTCATGTGGTGTGAAAAGTCTTTTCAGTCTTTTTCTCATAATACTTACAAATTAGTTTTTTGTGTGACAGAATGAAATTACTGCGTGTTCATAAGACATTTTAATAATGAATAAGTTGTTTTTCCAATTGCGTGCAGGTGCACAGGCAGAGTCTGCACGTGCATTTGAAGGCTGCACAATGGTCAGTTGGCACAGTGAGCTGCTGTAAGTTCTGCAGCTACGGTACAGTTTGTCTCCAGTTTCTTCATCTGCAGCTACTCTATGACTTGTACCTGAAAGATTTAAGGCCTTCCTAATTCCTGCCTTCACTTTGGTTGCCTAGAGTCAGACCCACCAGGAGGGCAAAGAACTTGACAGTGGCAGAGCTTTGGACTGCTCTTGGCTTTGCCAAAGGTTGCACAAGCCATTTCTCTGCTCCTTTATAAACAGTTGGGTCAGTAAGCTGGGTGCTGCTAAGAACGTTTTGTGGATCAGCCCACAAAACTGAGTTTCAGAATTGCCCTTTTAAATAAAACATATAACCAAATTTTAGTCTACAGAAAGCTTCCTTGAACACATATCACAGTAAGTGTCTTTACTACAGGCTCTTCCAGCCTGAAGTAGGTTTCAAAGACCAACTGCATAAGAGTACAACTCTAATAATAGAATCATAGAATAACAGAATATCTTGGGTTGAAAGGGACCCTAAGGATCATTGAGTTCCAACCACCCTGCCACAGGCAGAGCCACCACTGGCACTAGACCAGGCTGCCCACTGCCTCATCCAACTTGGTCTTGAACACCTCCAGGGGCAGGGCATCCACAGCCTCTCTGGGCAGCTGTTCCAGCACCTCAGCGCTCTCTGTAAAGAACTTTCCCCTGACATCCCATCTAAACCTTCCCTCTTTGAGCTTAAAACCATTCCCCCTTGTCCTGTCACTATCTAGCTGAGTAAACAGTTGATTCCCCTCCCATTTATAATCCTCTTTTAAATACTGGAAGGCTGCAATGAGGTCTCCTTGCAGCCTTCTCCAGGCTGAACAAGCCGCATCAGAGTATGTTCAACATTTTCAGAACTACAGGATTTTCTTTTCCATAAATATGGCACATTATAAGCAGCCTCATAAACTTGCCTCATTTCTGAGTATGCAGAGTGACCAGGATTTCGAGTTACACGATTAGGTTTAGGGAATCTTTTTCTGTCTGAAAAATCTCTAATAACTACGTGTCTGTAGCTAAACCATGCAAACACACGTGCTGTTTATGGATTAACAGGAGATATGGTTGAATAGAAAAGCTGAACATGTGCATTCTGATTTCCGCCCAGTTATTACAGCAGGGAATGAATTACTGTCTCTAAATCTTCTTTTTGACTGCAAATGTTCCAAATTAGAAAAAAAAAAACCCTACTTAGATGTATTAGTATGCACATATTAGGTAGATTCTGCACTATTTAAGACTTAGAGCGGAAATGCAGCAGCCATTGACATGCTGCCCTTTATTTTACAGGATTATTTTTAATGGACAGATAAACATCAATGCAGGAGGAAGGCAAGAGAACCCAGATATTAGGCCAATATTTTTATTCAATTCTGGCTGAATCACTGTCTGTTAAAGACAGGAAAAAACAAGCTGCTATCTTTTCTTTTTCTCTAAAGCTGTGATGCGTACTACAGCCTTCTGAGAAGCAGTGACCACAGATGTTCTTTATTACAGTGCTGCCCTACTATGTCACTTGTTCTCACACCAACTGCAGATACATCTTGGTGAACAGCCTTGCAAATTCTCCTTTCAGTCACCTTGAGGAGAGGCTGCAGCCAGCTAACAGAGGGTGCACAGAACAGCTGAAACAACCACTAGAGGTCAGGAATGTGGGAAATTCCCAGAAAGTGAATTGCCAAAGGGGAGCCAGCAGTATGGATTCCAGTCTGAATCCCTAGTCCACTGCACAGCCCTCTCATCACTATCCAGTTATAGAGATTTTAGCTTTAGGTAGGTACCTAGAAATTACACTAGAAAACGCACCTCATAAGGAGTATGAAATCTGGAAAACTTAAAAAAATAAAAATAAAAAAAAAAGGAAAGAAATTGAACAAGATTCAAAATGGGAAAGTACTTTCCCCAGCAAGGAGGTCTGAAGAGGAAATAGCGAATAGGGATACAGAAAGGCTAATTAAGATCTACTTAAGTGTTGACTGAAGGAAGCTAAAAGATACTCAGTTGGCACAGAATGCCTAGGGAAAAACCTTTCACACAGCAGAAGGTATGGATAGATAAGCTTGTTACATCACAAGGGGCAGAGATTTATCTTTTTATAAAGATTATGTGAACAGAAGCTCTGATCCTAGCCATCTCTTGAATACTGACTTTTTTAAAGCACATTTAAAGAGTAATGGAATTTCAATGATACTTAGTGATGTATTAATATCTGAAACTTGTATTTTTTATTATCTTCAATGTATATTATTTCATTATTATTCCTTTATTGCTTTTTTTTCCTGAAATACTCTTGTTCAATAACATATATTCTTTTTTGACTCAAATTTAAATGACAGGTTTTTATTTTGAAATATGGATAAAAGTAGTTAAGAAGGATTTTCAAATGTAAGAATTTGAAAAATAACATTATCCTTGTTTTTCTATTTCTATTTTGAAGAAACACACAGAGATGAGGGACTAGTTAATGAAAATTTTCCATATTTTCCCTTTTGGCAGAAAGCTTCCAACCTCTTTCTCTCTTTTTGTAATTTATCCTTAAAACAAATAAAGAAAGTCTGACTGTAAAACGAATCAATTTATTTCTCAATCCCAACTTAATAACCTTTCAGTAAGGAAAAAACGAATTTGACAGTTGTGATTAGCAGCAGTTAAGTGTTGAAAGATGTATACTAAAATTAAATTATGTAATAAAATAAAAACTTATTTCTATAAAAGAGAAAATACAGTTCTCGGTGACAATTGTGATAAATGGCAAGACACATTGGATATATGTGTATAGACAGGAAAACACTTCTTTACATATTACCTTACATTCTGTTGATCAGATTGGCTAAACGTCAGAGATTTATCTGTGTTTCACCAACTACAATTTTACAAGACCTAAAGGAAACCCTAGTCCAGACTTCTTGGTGCTCTGCTGTATAACCAAGATGTTATAATTGCAATATAATCAAAAGAGTAAGGCAAAAGCAAACAAGGATCGCAAAAGAGAATAAGTAGAAGAGCTTACCCTTGGGTTGAGCTCACTAGAAGATACCAAAAGAGGAGGATCTCCAGAAGAGATCCTTCCCCTCTGGTAGCCAGCTCTTAAATAGGTCCAGGAGGGGTGCAGCCTGGCTCCACCCCTTCCGGTAGCACAGGTGAATTGCCTTCACCTGTGCTCCTCTGGCTGACTCAAGGCTCACCTCAGGTGATTAATCAGAGGTTCAGGCCGTGACTCAGCAGTTCCCATACATCTGCTCACAATGAAGTGGAAAAAGATTGTAGAAAATCAAGGGTTTGTGTTCAGTATCAAACACAGATTTGCTGAAAGCCAACAGATTAGGTAATACCTACCAGGAATAAAAAAATGTACGATCAAAATGACAGAAGAAGCAGTTCATGTACTTCTGCAGGCAGAATGCTGAGTACTGATTCACAGGTTTGCTGGACATGGGACATACTTGCTTTCCACTATTTTCAGAATATATTATTTATAAATAATCGCGTCTGAACCCGGAATTGAACTGTCCTTCTGCCAGCTCCCAAAGGTAGGGCTCTTCATGCTCCATAAATGCCCTGGACCTGTGTAACTTCTCTATTATCAGATGGTGTTCTTTGTAGGTATGTGCAATAAAATGTTTAAATACACCTTGATGAAAACATTATTTTAATATTATTTCCTACTGTTTCTTATCATCTGGAAGCCAAAGCCTGAAGACGGACCAAGACCAGAAGTGCCATAGATCATCAATTAAACAAAACTTCTACTTGCTGATTACAAAATGTCTCTGGGAGAACGTTGGATGGTCATACAAGTACATAAACACAAGTCTTTGCTGCACACACCTTCAAAGTCATAATTTACACTACTTAAGAAAATCAGTCTCTTCCCCCGCTTTGCAAAACATATGCTTTTACAAGCTCTATCAAGCTAGATGAATCAAGTGAAAAAAAACCACACATGGCTACACAACATGGATTCAAATCAAAATGCTTTCGCATGGTAATCGTGCAGTCCTTCATCTTCTCACATCAGCGTCAGACCTCCCCCCTCTTTCTTTAACATTTAGGATAAGCCGTGTAGAACAGGTCGGTCCATACCTGGTTTCCAGCGGTATGTTGCTGTTCAAGACCCAGCTGTTATGGAGATGCACAGAATCCTGTGTGCTGGTGGGGGGCGTTGGGGCAGCAGGGCTGGGCTGGCTGCGGGTCGTCATTGATCTCCTCTGGAGAGAGTCGGCCGCCGGTGGTGGTTTCCTGGTGCAGGTGCACGCGTGTGGCGGCGGAGGCGGTGGTGGGAGAGGTCTGAATGTGAACTGGTTGTGCGGGCTCCCCGGCATGTCTGAAACAACACAGAGAGGAAACCCGGGGGCTTACTGCTTGGAAAACACTGGGAGAGCATTGGGGGATGATATACGATTTAATGGGATTAAAGGACTGCGAGCATTGTGTGACCGATCACATTAACTCAGGTGTCTGTAAGCTGTTAGTGCAGTGTGAAATAATTTAAGATATAAAGCCCTACTGAAATGAAGACTATTAGATACAGACACACTCTTCAGCACTGTAGTTAGAGCAACAAAAGAAAAAAAAAAAAAAAGAAGATATAACTTTCACTTAATTTGTCCCAGGATTTTTGGGGAAATAAATAAATCAAGTTGACATTGAATTGCTGCACCTACACCATTTGATTTCATGAGGTATAAATCTCATCTAAGAAGAGCATTGAAAGACACAGACACAATATAAGAATTAGCCCAGCACTTCATATAAAGAGAGAAATAACTGAATAATTCCTACCACCAAATAAATGCCTCCCATAAAATAAGGTCAACGCATTTCACCTACCTTGGCACAGCACTTGTGAAATGACGGCTGGGAGAAGGCCATCTCACAGGCTGTCTGAATGACCCACGTACCTGCAGAAGCTGAAGGCAGGTGGACAGGGCAGCCCAGGGGTCCCACCGCAGAGCAGGCGGAGATGGGTGATGGGGACATGGTGCGGGGACACCTGTGGCCCTGCCCCATGCGAGCCCGAAAAAATTCCCTGCAAGGAACTGCTGCTGCCACCCATTTACAACACGCGCTTTCCTGAAATTATGACATAGTTTGTCTTCAAGGTGAAGGATGAAAGCATGCCCCTTCCCTTCTTGGAGTAGCTGGCAGAAAAACAGCACTTTTTTTCCTCTGTGACAGCCACAATTTACCCCAATTGGAGGAACAAGGTTGTTCAGTGCTCCACATAAGCTTCTCTATGCTGTGGTAAGCAAAGCTGTCACGGATTTGGCCCAGGCTTAATCCTTTTAATTTCATTGATCTTTTATCAAGGCAGAATTCTTACAGTTGCATTAGGGTTTACACTGCTATATTAGTTTGCATATACCAGAAAAGCATTTCTAAGCATATTAGAAAATTGGAGGCCTCAGTAAATTAAATCACTGGAGTCAACAGTCCGGAGCTCTGAAATAATCTGCTAAGACACTTTCATATAATAATTAATCTCAGTAAATCCTGCATCCTGCTATTTTAGAATTGAAGCTACCAAAATTTTGGATATATCATTTGACGTCCAGCATCCTCAAGTATTTGATCAGTGACTTTCTCAATCTTGTATCCAGTCTACAGAAGATTTGCAGGATTACCATGCACACTACAGTTTGTGTGACACACAATTCAATGGCCTTACTGCTGTCCTGTCAGTTAGAAAATCACTGCCAGGAAACACAGATAGATGCTATAAGGTGCTTCAAAAGCTCTGCAGTAAATGTTGAGCATCCAAGGTGACTGCTTCTCTAGGTAAATGGGAAAAACCTGTGGAATCAGTATGGCAACACACCTTTAAGTTCCTTTCTTCCCCTTTTACTGCCCCTATGCTGTCAACAGCTACCATTTGCTAATATTTTTCTTTGCTCCATGCAGTAGGCTGGTTCTGCATTGTGAACCGTGAAGTATTTCTGGTCGGTGGGGTACGCAGTATCTCCCAGTGCTATTTCTCACAATAAATTAATGCACCAGATTTCCTGGGGGATTCCTTTTTAATTATCACACTTGTCACCCTTTCCTGCAGCTACTGGCATCAAAGAAAACTTCACATCACATTCGGAAGTATTTTGGTGATTTGAAGACAGGTCTTCCCGCATTAGACCTTTACTTCAGTGAAGCACTGAGAATTCATCAAGCTGAGAATCTGGCCTGAGTTTCCTATTAGCTTTTACAGACTTTCCTAATTTTCCCTATTTAGAAAAGTTATTTTTGTTTTGCTTGAAACTAAGTCTACATCTCATTAGCTTTATTTTTATACCACAAACACTGTTGCTTGGAATATAAAACAGCATTGTATCTAAATCTCCACACTCACAATTCTGCAGGGCCCCGACTAAACAGTAGGTTCTGTAAAATAATTTCTGTAAAATAATGCAAAATAATAAAATAATTGGAAAACTATTTGAACACCTAAAAAGAGAAACTACACAAACTAATCTGTCTAAAGTCACAAAGTTTCCAGTGTATGAGAGCAATACAGAAATTAACTGAACTGTAAATTTTATCCTACTGCAGCATAATGCCACCTATCCACGAGAACACCTGCTTTTATTTTTAATCATTGCTTAAAACGTTTAAAATTTTTTAGACAGCAAAGTTTATGTATGCTATGCAAACATAACATTGTTCCCAACGTGTTTATTGACAGAGTAGAAGTTTGAAGTAATCTAAAGATGCAATGACAAACACAATTTCATCTCAGTTTCCACTTACAACGATATCCTACAGATCAGATTCTCATCTGAGCAATATGCAAACAAGAAGAGGTGCTCCTGGGCCTCACAGATGGACTTCCTGTCAAAGTTGTACTGTTCCCACCTGCACATGAACTTAGCTTTTATTTATTTCCTTATTATACAGTCAGAAAAAGGTTCTTTAGAATACTTAAGTTTATTCTCCTATCTTTTTTAAGAGTTCTCTCATGTCCAAGAGCATGTCTAGAACTTTCCTGTTTTCCAAAGGCATAAATATGACATTCTGCTCTCTTTGCACTTCCCTGTTGAATACTGGATCTGCTTTAACTCACACATTGCCCATCTACTCCACAAACTGCACTTAAACTTCTTTTCAGTCCCCCTTTTTAAGGATTTCTCTTTCATTCTTCAGTAAGTGTTCATGTGTTCATCTTTTTTCTTCTGAGACAACTCCCTAAGTCAATGCATGTGATCCAAAGGAGAGAATGCTGTATTGACGTTAGCTATAAAAAAAGGAGAACTCTCATTTCAAGGATTTTCACTCACTGTCCTTTCTTTTAAGCTTGATAGGAGGAGTTTGGTTATGTCCTGAATGTTTCTTCATCTTTACTTCTGAATCATTCCTTTGGATTGCTCTTAATCAGTTTTGAATACAACCCGCTTTGTAGCAGTGGAATAACAAGGCTCAATATTCTGCAGCTAAAGAGTGCAGACCTAAACAGCTCCTTTCTAGCTGTTGAGTTCTCCTGCTATTGCTTTTTCCTTCAGGGAACACCATAATTCATATCTTTCTCTTCTAGTAAGCAAGCATTTCTTTCCTACAACAAGAGGAAAGGTCATCCACTTGGAACTTCCCTTTCTTGTTCTTGCTGGGCTGCCATTCTGATCAGGGCAACTGACCAGCCATTCTGTGGCACAAACCAACGGACAACAAAAGCCTTCACATCTACTCATTTTCCCCAAAAGTGAGGATGAAAAGCCTTCATTATCTTAAAGATGCAGCAGAACTGTTTTAGAGTCTTGCAAAAAAATGAAATAAGAAACTGTAGCTACTACCCAACGCAATTATTTTTGAAAACAAGCCAGAACTTTGGGAACCATTTTCCTAACAGTTTTGAAGCATACTTTAGCGTACTTCTCATATCCATGAAGTAAGAAAAAGTAATTGAACAGTTTTATCATTCACTGACAAGACTACCACAGCCTGCATTGTGACAAAGTATATCAGAAAGAACATATTAAAAAGTAATGAACCTTAACAAGTTTGCATCTAACCTGTAGTACTTTCAAAGTATTTTCATTTTTTCAGTTCCTAAATTCATTACTTACTGGTATGTTTTATTCTACCAGGCATGTCTCAGCTGAGTAAAAATTAGTTTGCAAGTCATTATTTAATGAACTAAATAGCAGCATGTGCTCAGAGATGTTAGTGTAGGTTTCTACTCTATGGGTATAGTACTACTCAGTTACAAACCAATCAGTAATTTTTTATTAAGTGGAGGTGAATTATAACAATCCTATTTATGAAAATAAAGCCTTGGAACAGGTAACTCTGCACAATGCAGAAAGGCATGTCTGACAGAAGGATCTTGCCCAGAGTCTTGCATCCAATCCACATAAATGGGCATCGAAGAACTGGGAAACATTCTGCAGAGAAAACAAGCTCAGTGCTGAAGACTACAGTTAAAACCACAGAATAAAAAAATTCAATTTTACAATGAAATGCATGTACTGGGTCTAAGCAGACAAACTAAGAATTAAACACAGCCCTTAATACTGCAGAGTGCTACATGTTAATACTCCTATTGATCTTGTGCAAGTCTTTACACCCTTTCCTTCCATTCCAGATTCAATTCTATGATTCTATGATTCTATGATTCTATTCTATCTCCAGACTTATTTTTCCACAAATGTCCTAATGGCCTTTCCAAGTCCATCATTATTTGTTATTTCTCTGAATTCCTTTTGTTTATCCTGTGATATATTTTGAGAAAAGGCAAATATATTAAAAAATGTAAATTAGATTGCTCTGATGATGTGTAGATTTGTGCTGTATTTTGATAATCTCCTTTGCACTTGCTCCTTCAGACACAGCTTGGTGTTTAAATGGCTTACTATATTTGCAAAATGCTTTGCTTCTAGCACTTTTTCAGAGCACTAAATTGTGAAAGTATCTTTAATACCAATTTGCCCTTACATTATAGTTCTGCTCCATATACATTCAGTTTTTCCCCTCCATCTTTTACTCTGTAAATCCACCAGAACATAAATTATCAAACATCTCTGAAGAATTCTACAAACCATTTGGTCTTATGCAACATAAAGATTATAATGCAATGAAAGCTTACAAACTACAGGACCCATGGAATCAGAGTCCACATAGTAAGCAAGAGAGAGACCTCCAGAGACCTCCCTGTCACAGGACATCCAGACAGACTGATAGAAGGAGAGAACAACTAAGCAAAGTACATAACTTGGGGGTTCTGAGCCCTTTATGAATCAGTATGGATATAACCTGATATAGTCAAGACTAGAATTTTGCACCACAATGCCAACTCTAAGAGTAGAACGAACCCAATGTATCATGATTTAGGGGCTGTACAGA